ACCCTCCCATAGACAGCAAGGTAACTACCACGTTCAAGGTCCAGAAAAGTACCAAGATGATCGACAAAGTAGTCCGTGTGACATCAGTGGTTCAACTGTAAAGTTACGAAGCTTTACATCACGCAGGATCTGGGTCAGCGCCGGCGCCGCCACAAGCTCGCGTCATGATACTGTCATGAACACGCGTCCAAAGTGACGCAGTAGAGACGAAAATGTGCAATAAAGTCGTTATTTTTGTTTTCTTTGTGCAAAAAAGTATTCTCGTAGCTTCGTAACTTTACAGTTGAACCACTGATGTCACACGGACTACTTTGTCGATCATCTTGGTACTTTTCTGGACCTTGAACGTGGTAGTTACCTTGCTGTCTATGGGAGGGTCAGAGAGCCCTCAGATTTCATCAAAAATATCTTAAATTGTGTTCCGAAGATGAACGAAGGTCTTACGGGTTTGGAACAACACGAGGGTGAGTAATTAATGACAGAATTTTCATTTTTGGGTGAACTAACCCTTTAAATTAAAAAAGTATATGCTTAAATGCTTATATATGCTTTAAATTGATGTCACATTTAGAAAGAACAAGAGGCAATGAAGTTTTCCAAATGTCTTGCTTTTTTTTTTAATTAATTTAATGTGTATCAATGTCTTAAGGCCCATTCACGTCAAGAACGATAACTATATAAAGATAACTATATCTATAAAAATATTTGCATCCACGCCACCGGATTATAACATTTATTATAAGCACAAGCTGCAGTTTTGTCGCCTGATGCATTAAATGCTTTGAGATTTTTAAAGTCGGGTGGATTCTGATTGGCTGTCAATGTTTTTATCGTTCATCAGCTTGAAATAAACGTCCTGCTAGTGACCTTCATAGCTGCCGTGTGAACTTCTCTACTTTCAAAGAATTAGACATTTATCTTTATGGTTATAGTTAGCATCCTTGGTGTGAACAGGCCTTTGCTCTTATGAATAATTGTCTGCCGGTTTTTCTGCCAAATTTTATTTGTGGTGTATGACTGTGGATCTGTCATGGCTCAGGATTGGAGGAGGCAGCGGGGAGGCAGTCCATGTCTCAGCCGATGATGCAGATGGCTCCGCCTCCCTACCTCTCCACCCAGGACCCCAACATGCCCCCACATCCTCCTCCACCCGGCTGTGCCCCGCAGCCCAATTACCCCCCTCCCCCTCCTCCTCCTGGATCAGAGGGGTACCTGCAGGAAACCCAGTTCCACTGTGGCACCCTTGGGCCCCAGGGGGCTCCAAACGGATACCCGGTGCAGACGCACGGACCAGTAAGCACTGTCCCTCATCCCCCAGTGGGCTATTTACATCCAGGATACCCCCTTCAGCTGCAGCCATGCACGGCCTACGTGCCCGTCTATCCCATAGGCACAGGGGTGAGTGGGCATTCATTTAAATTGCACAGGATAATCCAGAAGTATATAGCATGAGAGCGGGATACAACATACTACATACTACTGCAGTTAAACATAGGGAGATGAGTGGTTCTGTTAACGGTATGTATTTTTATGTTATTTTTTTAGTGTTATTTTAATAGCCATAGGCTGGCTTTTTAAATAAAATATGCAGCTACTCTTATGCTTAAAAGATTATGTGAAATGTGATGTGATTCCCATGCATCCCTGGAGAACAAATACCTTCCCAAGATGGAAATATACCAGCGGAGATGATATGCATGATATATCCGGACTATAACTCTTATCTGCCAATATTAGTGCATTTTGAAAACGTATTAGTAAAACCTCAACATTTTTTGGCTGATATTGGATATTTAATATAAATGTTTAATAGATATTTTCCTTTTAGATTTAGATTCCAGTAAAATTTCATGGTCTCTATACCAATTTTTGTACCATAGCAAAAACTAATTCAGCTCCAAATAAATGATTTAAGCTTAGGGCTACAATTTATTTAAAAAAAATTAATTGTGATTATTTTGTTATATATTGCAATTCTGTTTTGAACTGCATTCTGAACTGCGATATGTTAATAATAAAAAATGTGGTAATTAAAAAGAAAACTAAATATATTACTATCGTAAAAATAAAATTGTATGGTAAAGTAGTTATAATAATAATAATTATGTTTACACTACAATAGTAATGTTATAATTCTAATAGTTATGTGTTCATTTCTTCACTTTCAAATGTTAAATCTTCAAGCTTTTATTTTGGCGGAAAACTGGTGTTTATTTGACAGCATGTTTAGAAAGGTTTCTCATTACAAATCTTGTGAAAGGCTGAAAACGTTTGTCCACAAAAATATTGGTAATTATGCGAAAATAAAGTGAACCGGCATACATTTTGGTCCCAAATACATATTAAATACATAGTGTTTGAAAATGATTGATTTGTTAATCGCACTAAGGTATATCATGATTTTGATTTTATTTCGATTAATTGTGCAGCCCTATTTCACTTCATGTGCTGCTAAAGAAACAAAAATTGTGATTGTCAAAAATGTAAGAAATGTACACATTTTCAAGGAAATAATGCCTGTCCAGTATAGTAATGTCATGTCCAGTAAAAATATAGGAATTATGCACCTGAATTGTGCACCAGTTTATGTAAGCTGAATGGCCTTTCCTGTGTGTTTCTTTTCCTCAGGCGCAGCCTTACATGCCCAACGGTGCACCTCATCCAGGTGTTTCCCCCGGCCAGATGGCCATGCATATGCCAAACGGCATTGCTCTGATGGAGTCTCGTCGTCCTCCTCACGACTACCTGCCCATCGCCGTCCTCACCACTGTCTGCTGCTTCTGGCCCACAGGAATAATCGCCATCATCAAAGCCGTGCAGGTAACTGAGCCCAGGCCGAGCTCTGATGCTCTGATGCCAGCAGGGCTGAGATATGAATCAGCTCATGGATATCATTTCTGTTTCATGCTTGCTGTTCACACACTAACTACTAAGAACTAAACACATGGTTATAAAACCATTAGGTAAATGGTTGCATTTCAGTGTGGAATATGATCTTTGTCTACAAATGATCTACACACAATTAGACTTTTTACATCAATCAATTTAATTTAATTAAAAATGTAATTGAATTAAAATTTCAGACTTAAGGCTTGTTCACACCGGGAACGTTCACTCGGCTCATCGCCTGCGAAAATCGCTTGGGTATGAACACAAAAGACGCGTCGAAAAACGTCGGCGATAATCGTCCCGGTGTGTACGAGGCTTTAGTGTGAACAAGTGTTTTATCTACTTGTTCTAGATTCTTTTTAAAAAAAATAGGATTTTATTTTATTTTTATTTAATAGGATTTTATTTTATTTTATTTTATTTATTTGTTTAGTGGTTGTTTATAAATAATTTACATTCAGTATTCAGAATTTCATTCAGTTTGGTTGTTTTGACATCAAACAACTTAATTTAATGTACTAATTTAATTTCACACTTGCTTTGAACAGGCAAGTTGACAAACGATTCACACAGTTTTGTTCAGTTATGTTTTTTAGCATTGAACAATTTAATAATTTAATTTCATTTAATTCCAGATTTGGCATGAACAGGTATTTTATCTATTTTTTTTCTAGATATCTACTAAATAGGATCGTTTATCATTTGTTTAATGGTTGCATTTTGGTGTTGTATTGTCTATCTAAGTTTACAAACAATGTACACAGAATTATTTTTTTTTTTAGAATTTTTGAAGTTAACTTCATTTAATAATTTCATTTCAGACTTGGTGTTCATTCAATTACATTTTTGTAGCATCAATTTAATTTAATGATTTAATTCAATTTAATTTTAGACTTAGTGTGAACAGGTATTTGATCAATTTATTATAGTTTTCTAGTAAATAGGATATTTTTGTCCTATTTGTTTTTAGTGGCTGCATTTCTGTGTGACATTGTATTATTTAAGTTTACAATGATTTACACAGAATTCTGTTCAATTAGGGTTTTTCTTAGCATCTAACAATTTAATTTAATTTAATTTAATTCAGATTTGGTGTGAACAGGTATTTTATCTATTTTTCCTAGATATCTACTAAATAGGAATCTCTTTGTTCAGGTGCGTACCGCTGTGGCTCGAGGCGACATGGTTACAGCAGAGATCGCCTCGCGCGAGGCCCGTAACTTCTCCTTCATCAGTCTGGCGGTGGGAATCGCCTCCATCGTGCTCTGCACCATCCTTACCGTTGTGGTTATCATTGCCTCTCAGCACCACGATGACGACTGGGAGCCCTAGAGAGCACAGCGCGGGACACACCTCCCCATCCTGACCCCAGGCCATCATTCCAGTCGGTATTCTGCTTTTCTGTCACACAGCACAGTTCTGATGGCTCAAGCCACCACAACCTAATCTGCAGTCGAAAATACGCTTTTACAGTCATTTGCCCATGTATTAGTTACAAGATAGATCGACGGTATGGTAAATCTGAGTGTGGGGAACACAGAGCATCTACCTTGTAAGCGTGTACACTCACACTCACATTAACCTACCTGAACACTTCCTGTTTCTCCAAAACTAAAGCCTGTGTTAGATCAGTAGTTAGAAATAGTGTACTAAAGACTTGAGTCATGTCAGGTGTTATCGTTTGCTTTTAGAATTTGCCAAAAATATTACTTTTGAAAAGAAACACACAAGTATTACAGGTTCAAAATTTTGGTATAATTGTGTTTTTTGATGTTCAAAACATTCCATGTATTATTTTTGCCATTTATCTGTTTAGAAAGATACTATATTTCTTTGCAGGTTAACTTGACAAATTCAAACGCTGAAAGTGTGGATAAATTGTGTTTTCTATACACTAGGTATTGAAAAGTGTAAAATAATGTATTGAATAAGTCGAAAGACTAATAGACTATTGAAATAAGTTTCAATATAGTAGAACTGGAATTTCACATTTTATTTACCCAAAGGAACGTCTGTTGTGTAGATCAGAAGAGTGTATATCAGTATTGATTACTCAGTGGTTTCTATTCTGAAACCCAAGGCCAGAAATCTACTCTATGGAGTACACAAACACAGATGCAGATGCAGAGGTTCTGTTGTACATATTTAAAGCAAGTGATGCACCAAAACCCAAATTAAAGATTTAATTTAGCTGAAAACCGAAACACAAAACAAAGCTTGGGTATTTAAATTTGGGTATTTGAACTCAGTATGTCATTCTGGGTGTTGTGTTCATACAGCAGATGATAAACCAGTCATAGTAAAGGTCTTTGGCAATGAGCCTCCTCTCAATATTTTAGCTGAATAAATTTTACATTTTGCTACTTTAGCATCATTTCTGGTTTACCTGTTTGTCCATTGTATCTTATACAACAGACAAACACACGTTGTGTGCACAAAGTAGATACTGACATAGTCGATACGTGCCATCAGAAAAGTTTGATCAGAAAATGATTTCAACCCTTGAAAACTATTTTGGCTGAAATCTATTTTTTTTTGTTTTTGTTTTTTTGATTGCCAAAATTTGCGTCATTATGTGATGCTGCACTGTTTACTTTTTGCACAAATAGTGGTGCAAAATGGAATTGCAGTCTGTTCGTTTGAGAAGCCCTAAATAGAAACACTGGCTTAATCAACATCTTAACCAGCAACATGTTTTAGTGCCATTAGCTTTAAGTTTTGTCATTGCTGTGGTTACTCCAGGGTGCGGCAGAGTTACTCTTAATATTAAAGGCGCAGTAAGCGATTTTTGCCAAAGATGTTGATATTTGAAAGCACCAAAACAAACACGCCCATACCCCAACAGGACCTCACCCCTATTTTGATAACTCCGCCCCACACAAACGTACACAACCCTGGCAGTGACGATCGCGGAATCTGCTATGCCTGCCGGCCGCAGCATATCCAAGCAAAAGCCAACACAGAAAAGTTGTGTGAAAAAGCAAAATCAATGTAACTCACCTATCAAGAAGAAACAAAGCAACCTTGGCGTCTGATTCCCTTCCGCTCCTTGAGTTTCTCCACCACTGGAAAGCTACTCCGATATTTACGTGGGTCCTACCTCTTGCCTGATCGTAACCCTTCTTTTTAATGTTTTATTCCTCCAAAAGTTTCCTCTTTTTTTATATCTGCCATCTCTTGCTATCTATAGTCGATCTGCTAATATCCGTCCTGTGCACTCACTGGGCGCTCTCTTCTCTTTATCTTTACTAGACACGCCCCTTACTGCTGATTGGCTGCAAGTTTGTTTTGGGACTCGGTCCGACACTGTGGTCAAAAGCGTTTTTCAAAAATCGCTTAGTGCACCTTTAATGCCACTAAATTGGATGTGGTATTAGGGGCCATCCACACAGAATCTATTTTTGCATTCCAAAGCTCTGCTTTTTCATTGTTTTTCTATGTAAACATGTGCTAGACGGTTACGTTTGACATTTGCATCTCGCGTCTATTGCAGCATCTCGCGCCTGACACGGCATTATAAAAACATGGAGCTCAAATTAAACAAGTTCTAAAAGTCTAAAACTCTAAAACTTCTAGAGATTTTTTTTTTTTTTTGCTTTGTTGTTACTAGACACGCCCCTTACTGCTGATTGGCTGCAAGTTTGTTTTGGGACTCGGTCCGACACTGTGGTCAAAAGCGTTTTTCAAAAATCGCTTAGTGCACCTTTAATGCCACTAAATTGGATGTGGTATTAGGGGCCATCCACACAGAATCTATTTTTGCATTCCAAAGCTCTGCTTTTTCATTGTTTTTCTATGTAAACATGTGCTAGACGGTTACGTTTGACATTTGCATCTCGCGTCTATTGCAGCATCTCGCGCCTGACACGGCATTATAAAAACATGGAGCTCAAATTAAACAAGTTCTAAAAGTCTAAAACTCTAAAACTTCTAGAGATTTTTTTTTTTTTTGCTTTGTTGCACCCCACGTTTTTAACCGCAAAATCAACGTTCTGTGTGAATGGCCACTTATTGTGGTAGCAATTTAACCAGTTTAACCAACTTGAACTGACTCAGCAGGATTCTCAACAAACTGACCCCAGAAGAAGACAAATTATGCTATTGTATAGCACCCCTTGTGGCAACACTGAGAATGCAACGTGTATTTGCGTATCATTATGAATTGCTGAAAATTTTACAATGCAGCAACATGTGAAAATAGCTAAGCGTTTGTGTTCATGTACTTGCGTAGAGTAACTCTTGGGCCGAAGTGTTCCCAAGTGTCTTGTTGCAAACCGGTCTTGAATCGATCCACTTCAGAGGTGTTGAAAGAATGTATTCTAGGGTGAAATTATTACTTCATTACAGACTTTTGTAAATTGGCTCTTCATTGAAGGAAGACATGAGATTTGTGTGTTGTGAATTAGTGTGTTATTTATTGTTTCAACTAAATTATTCATTTGTGTATTATAATTATATATTTATTGAAAAATGTAATCATAGGTCTAACTGTTGTGCTGAAATATTTGGTTATCTTTAATAGACAGGGGCGTGTCTACGTGGTGGCCAGGGGTGGCACCGGCCCCCCCTGAAATTTGGCTGGCCACCCCAGGTGCCCCCCC